AAATTATTAACCAACGCCTTTATCCAATAAGATCATATAACTAAGGAGGTTATGTCTAATTTGAAAATAGAGAGGAGGTTTCAACATTAACACTGTTAAGCGAGGTTTAAGCTTTTTACCCTTTTATATTTAAAAATTACACCATGAATTGTATCAATTACTGGATCACCAATAGAATACACCTTCCGGGTCACGTATCTCCTTTGTCTAAACTTAAATGGAAATTTTGTATGAGGATTTCTGTTAGAGATCATCAAATACCACATAATTTATTACGAAAAACCTATATAGTCGTAGGTGCTGCGTGAACTTGGATAGGTTCAGACAGCGACTTTGACATAATTTTGATACAATAGTAATAATTTATTTCCCACTTGTTCTTTTACATCTAAGGCCCAACTTGGTTGCCTTAGGTCCCCTCACTTTCCTTTTATTCAATCTATATGTAAGACTAAATTAAATGACGAAAGCTACTTGTTTGTATAAAATTATATATATTGTGAAAAACCAGGTATTATTTTACACTTTTTGACTTGACTCAGCTAAAATTTCACATGTAAGTTGAAATTTCAATGTCATGACGATTTATATACCTTTGTCTTTGTTTTATACGGTACTGACATTTTGTCTGTTAAATCAAAGTATCTTAACATTATATAATCGACTAAGTGTATCTTAACTAATACTGTCCTGTCCCTACTGTTTTCTGGTAATTAATTAATACTTTTCTTACCGTTAATTTCCGTTAATAGAAAGATGAAAAGACTATTTTCCCCCTATTATTTCTAAGAACCAACGAATGAACCGTCACACCTTTCATCCTTTTTCTTCTTCAACAATGGAGTTCTTGAAAAAGCATAAGGAACCAAATAGGGGCGGCGGTGGCAACCCTTATGAAACCCCTCTCTCGGAACTGTATGCACATTGGGCCTAGGAAACCCGAAAACGAAAGCCCACACATCGGAGGACCCTTCTTTTCTTCTTCAACAGAGCCTGTGAAACCCCCCTATTCGGTTCATTTGTTCTCTCTTTTCATTGCCTCTGGTTCACCGGAGGACCCTTCATTGTGACAGTGGCAACCCCCTATGAAACCCCTCTCTCGGAACTATATGCGTGTTGGGCCTAGGAAACCCGAAAACGAAAGCCCACGGACCAAAGGACCCTTCTTTGCTTCTTCAACAAAACTTGAGAAACCCCCTATTCGGTTCATTCGTTCTCTCTCTTCATTGCCGCTGGATCACCTGAGGACTCTTCATTGCGGCGGTGACAACCCCCTGAACCACAGCGGAAGGGGATCAGTAACTAATTGTTTTTCTTTCCCTTCTTCTGTTTTGTTTTAGCCCTGAAAGTGCTGAATCTACTGGCCGAGTAGTGATATTTCCATCCCACTATGGGGCAATGATAATTTGTGAAAAATCAAGAATAATTAATTAAGAAGCGGCCTTTAATGGTGGAATATTAATTCGAAGTGCATGCTGATCTGTCTGAGATGGGTATACGAGCATGGGGTGGGTTTGTTGATGAAAAACTGCAACAAGGGGAGGCTGAAGAAGAACCTGGATATATTCATTTGGGCATTGAGCGATGAGGAATTTGATGTAACTGATTCTGGTCGCGTATCAGTATTTTTGTGATGAATCGATTTTTTGGCTAAGTACCTCGTCAGTGACGTCTGCTCCCAAGTGGCCAGTGACTCAAGGGCTGAAGTGGAGCTCCCTGGTGTAGTGCAACTCGACTGCTCTCTGGAGGAGATGATCTGCTCTTCTTTAAGGACGGCAGGAGCTGAAGGACCCATCCTCCCTGCGGGAGATGATCAGCTCATCTTTGTGGATGGCGGGAACGGAGGGACCTGCGAGAACTCAATCAGAGATCCTGGGGGTGTTCACCCGGTGGGGACTTTCCGATGGCTAAGTCAGCACTTAGTAATAGAGCTGAGAATGAGAGAGCTAGGGAGCAGAAGCTACCATCCTTTTTTTTTTTCTTCTCCCCCCCCTCCCTCTGGGGGGTGAGGTCTTTATATACTGGTGATCTGACAGGTTCGGTAGAGTTGGCCCCGTATCTTTGTTGCAGCGATCTACTGCCAGGTAATGTCTTGGGGTGGCCTGTTACTGCGAGGACTGGCATGCTAGTGGGCTAGCTTGACCATTGCGGGGTACAGTCCGGTCAGGCAGTAGGTAACCACCAGGGCTGGCAGGTACGGTGTCGTCAGGCGAGAGACGTGGGTGCAGTCTTCTGGTACGACTGTCAGACGGAATGCTTTTCGTGAGGCTTCGGACGAGCTGTCCTACTGCGAGCTACCTGGGGGCGAGCTACTTGTGGCGAGCTCCTTGGTGGCGAGCTGCCTAGTGGCAAGCTCCTTGGTGGTGAGCTGCCTGGTGGTGAGCTCCTTGGTGGTGAGTTGCTTGGTGGCGAGCTCCTTGGTGAGCTGCCTAGTGGCGAGCTCCTTGGTGGTGAACTGCCTGGTGGCGAGCTCCTTGGTGACGAGCTGCCTGGTGGCGAGCTCCTTGGTGGGCTGCCTGGTTGTCAAGAGGCTGCACTTAATTGTCATGAGGTGCTAGGTGTCATAATGTCACTGGAGGGCCAAATCCGTCCTCATCATTTGCCCCCCACTCCCAAGCCAAAAGTAACTTGGCGAAGGGAGTAGATTTCTCCTTTTGGCCCGTAAGTCGATGAGCTAGTAAGCGCTGATCCAATCTCTTGGGCTCTGGGAGCTGCCTGTAAGTGGCAAGCTGCCTACAAGTGGCAAGCTGCCTGTAAGTGGCGAGCTGCCTACAAGTGGCGAGCTGCCTGCAAGTGGCGAGTTGCCTACAAGGTGAGGAAGTCTCTGTCCGTTCAATACTGTGGCCCTTAGGCTATGGGGGCAACTTAATAGTCCACTTTTGTTGAT